GTTTTTGTTAATTGATATTTAAGTCCCTGCTAAGTTCCAGGAAATCATCTTCAACCAGGCTCAATAAAGTTCAAAAGTTTATATTCTGGTCGGTAGCCTGATCTATTCTTATTACCTGCAAGGATCATTATATTCCTGAAGATCTGCAGTTTTATTTTGACCTGTGTTTAATGTCCAGTTCTGTTCAACCATGTGTGACCGCCAGCCTTCACCAACAACATTAGTTTGAAGGTCAGTCTGTTCTCATTCATCTATGTAGCTTTTTATTTGAACTATATTAAAGTTGCATCATAGTAAGTCCTTCCTTTTTCATAACTGAGTTGCTGAAGAACAATTTTCAACTTTGTCCTCCTGACATGGAGTTTCACCTGCTGGAAATGTGAAAATTCAAGTACGTTCTTTGCATAATCTTAATTTTATAAATGTCTTGAAAATTGTACATATGGCATATGTATTCATTTGTGATGTAAGTTCCTAAGAAACAAGATTCCCAACACATGGCAAAATCAGAAAACGTTATTCCTGGATAAGTTGATAAATCCGTTGTTACCGTTTTAATCAGGAGAATGTTTCATTCTCACCATCAATTGGAAGAGGATTGTTGATTTCATGTCAGCTGCACAGAAAGTGTCTTGTTTTTCTGTTCACTGAGCTCAGGATTTTAGAAAGTGTTCACACTTATTTGTCTCTTGTGGTAGTTTGGTACTAAGCAGCTCATAGTGTAATTGTTAATTCTTTGTTGTTGCCATCTAACCACAAAAAAGTCCCAGAGGTCCAGCTGCATCCTAGTTTTCACTGACAATGTTTATCAGCTGTTACATATCTCATGCTGTTACATTTGGCTAGCATCTATGCATTTACACAAGATGGCTTGTGCCAGTATCATGATTTTCCTGTCTAGGCCTCCATTCCACCTAGCTTGGTGAGGTGGATAGCATGTGATGAATGCAAATAATGAAAAGAGTGTGCTCGGAGATAGCAAGAACTGCAGATGCTGGAGTCAGAGTCAATACAGTGTGGAGCTGGAGGAACACAGCAGGTCAGGCAGTATCAGAGGAACAGGAGAGTCGACGTTCACCAGTCCTTATGAAGGGTCTAGGCCTGAAATGTTGACTGTCCTGTTCCTCTGATGCTGCCTGACCTGCTGTGTTCCTCCAGCTCCACATTGTATAGAAAAATAGTGTGCTTACTGTTAGTATAGAATTTTCAGTGTTCTTTGAATGCTAGCATTATTTACAAATTCCAATTTCTCTCAGCCATCCTTTCTGGATTTCTTTCTGAGTTGGTTAGGTAATGTTGGGTAAGATTAGTAGACACAGCTCTAAGTGAACAGATTTCGAACATGGGCCCTGGGAAATATGCAGGTTGTCAGCAGCACACATTGTAAGCAAATTATTCCAGGTGCCCAGCATATAATATTTTAAAAACTAACCAAGTTCGGCAAGTTTTTACGGTGTGCCAAGGGTTATCATTTAAAGAACAAAGGAATATATAGCAGGATAGCTAAGTTCAATTTACAGTTTCTTATTTGAGTGAACAGTTTGTTTTTTACTTGTTAACTTGAGCATTTGTGAGCTTACTTCTGTTTGTAATCCTTCGAGGTTGCTTCTGGATTCCTCTTCTGTTGTTGTTTTCATTCTTTCTGTAGCTACTGTATCATCTGTTATCTTCCTACACCTTGCTAATTGGTCAATTTAAGGAATAGCCTATGCATATTCAGTTGCATCTTCCCTGATAGTAATATTTTATACTGCTGTACTATTCTGGGGTATCATTTCTAATACTCCTTCTGCTTTTTGCGTCAGCAAAAGAGGTGGGAAAGATTCTGTGAATAAAATTTAAGGTTGAGGTTGTTGTACTTTACAACCACAAATTGGTTAATAAGAGTAGATCAGTGGTAGATGACAACCGTGGAAGATGTTCAGTGGAATGGAGTGGAGAAAGAAGAAAGTAATGATGAATTGATTATGCTGTCCATTTTGAATGAATTAAATCCCAGGTTTCAAAGATACCTTACATTGAAGGTGCATACATTTCAGGACAGGACCAGTGAATCACATTTGTGCCCTATGTTTTCAATCATTGGTAATATAATAGACATTGTAAACTAATGGGCTTGTAGAGGCAGTTCTAGCATACTATGGTAATTTGGATCAGCTGAATTTAAAACAAGTTGAAATTCAGCTCAGCAGATCTCACAGCATCTGTGGAGAAAAAGCAGAGTTAACATTTTGAATCCAGTGTCTCTTCTCCAGCAATTTCTGTTTTTGTTCCAGATCTTCAGCATCCATAATTCTTCATTTTATTGAAATTCAGCTCAATGTTCAAGGTTGACATTGACTGGAATTTTAAAGTTCATTTGGAATTGGCTTGGAAGCACGCTGTAAAATTGGAATAGTAGATAGCAGACCAGAAAGTTATGATGACAATAATTACTAAATGTATCATTGGATCTGTCAAATTCTATAGGCTGAGAGAACAGAAATTGCGTGCTAAAATCAACAAGCTTTTTTTCACAATCATTGGCAAATTCTAGCTCAGTATAAAAAAAACTTGGGTCAGTATTAAAGATGGTTTTATCTTCTGATGTCGCCATATGACTGAGGCAAATCTTTTAAAATTGGTTTTGTTGAAGTGCCACTTTAGCTAAGTATTGGGGAATAATGTTAAGAGGTCCGTGTTAAGAAGGTTGGCCATTGTAAATCTTAATAAGTGGTAGCATTTTAGTGCTTAGAACAGATTTTATTGTCACTGGCAGATGTCAGTTCAAATTGTTCAGCATTTTTGAATGAAATTAGGTTGGTGCATTATTCTAAATATACATATTGGCACAGATTCTATGCATCCTTTTGAGGAATATTGATTCTCTTCTGTAATTGGCACAGGATAAATTAGCTTCTCCCTGAATGTGCCAAAATTGGTGGGACCCATCAAAGGAGAAAAGAGTGTTGTATGATTTAATATTTTAGAAACTTAAACAATTTCATTCAGAAGAGTGAAAAGCTAGTAGATTGAAGGTTGCAACCCTGCATATGAAATGGACTGTGCAACTGGCTTAGAAAGAAAAAAAATGGAAGCAGAAATATGGAAATAATTTCTCGGGACAGATAAACATTAACAAAATACAAATTTACTTTGAAATAACCAGTATTTTTTAAGCAATATTTGTAGAGTAGCACATGAAGGATATCTGGAACAACAACAGGTTAAATTTTGCGGTCCAAATCTTTGCCTTGTCAGGTCAAGTCAGGGCTCATTTAGGTACTCTGCAGTAGGTACTCGATTTTAGGACTCTTAGCAACAAAAGTTTTCATCAGCCTAGGATAAGCGTGCAGTTGGTGAGCTGACACTCTACACTTGTAACTTGACCAGTTCTGTTTCAGGGTAGGCATTTCATAGCCCTACTGCAATTTTCATGGAGTCAGGGCTGCCTGTCAGAAGAATATTGAAGCATCAGCTAGATTTGGTAACCTTTTGAAAGATAAGCTTAGCTGATGCAGCATGGCCCCCTACGCATCCTTCATGGTCACCATGTCTTCACCAGGATTATTTCCCGAGTATGCATTATGCGTAGAACCAACGGCAAGAAATGGTGATAGGAAAAAAAAATCTGCTTTTTCCCTATAATCCTATAAAAGTGTCAGTGGATAGGGGCATTCTAATATCTGTAACAGATGCTTAACCCACCTCACTCCTCTTAATCTTCAAAGAAATGTGCAGACATTGACAAAAAAAAAGAATAATTTATTACTACCTCATAAAAATGTTAATGAAGCGAAGTCAACACTCGCAGTTTGTCTTAGTAGTCTCCTACGGAGCTTATGTTTTTGTGAGTCTTGAGGCTCAACCAAGCATTCATAACAAACCCTTCTGGATACTATATCAGCAGATGGCTAGACATATTGTTCTTCATTAGAAAAAACTTGAAGGAAAAGCTCAGAGAAATAAAGGAATTGAGAAAGCAAAAGACCTCCTCCACAGTATCCTATGACTGGTGCCATTGAACTGTTTTCCCAGTATATCTTTCCACCTATAATACAATTTTGTTTTGGCTCTGTCTGGTCCAGTAAGACTACTGGTGACTTTAGAGATTTTTGATGAGGGTTAGAGTTTTAACTAGGGAGGTTGATATGTCGACAGTTCATAGTCATTTCTCTGTGGTTAGAATCTATTTATTTCTACTAAGTAGTATCTCTTGTTATGTGTAGTAACCTGGACCATGTTTTCTGATAACCTGAATCTGACAGCCAGGTAAACTAGGGACTTTTGGGAAAGAAAAACTGAATTTTACATTAAAAGGCTGTGTAAGGGAATAGAGCCCTGGAGCAAGTGTGCTGCATCCCATTTGATATAAATACCACAGCGTGGGTGGAATTTACACAGTCTGGAAAGAACATTGGAATGAAAGAGACTCAACATATGGACATAAATACATAAAGAAAATAGATTCATGATTGTGTAATATAACTATCTGTAGGAGGCTGGGACAAGATTACCATTTGCTGTTGTATTTAGCATGAGATATAATAAAGAAGTGTTACTTTGAAGTATAACTGAAGACCATCCTTGAATTGATTTTGCCTCACCCAGTTCCAAACATAAAACTAATTGTGTGGCATAAAAGCGCACAAGAAACACTTTGGAGCTGGCTGAGTCATTGTACAATTATGCTTTATTCTCATGTTGCGATGTTCGGAAACTAACTCCGTCTGACTAATTTGTTCTGTGGGTGGTGCTGTTCTGAGGAATAACACACATGTTTACGATTTCATTATGAACATGAACAAAGTAATGTTCTCTTGATGTTTTAATTTTTATTATGTGTTGTATTAATTTTGACTAGAGGGTTATTATTCTTGTCACATAACTCCTGATGTTTATATTTGTGGTAGCAGGGCTTTATTTGCATATAAATCATTAGTTAAACATGTATATTTTTGTATATGACTGCAGGAAATACTGGTCAGATTTTGAATTTTAATGTTTGCAATTTATTTTAGAAGAGGGGAGCCTGGCTCAGTGGAAGATGAAGCAAGGGACAACATTACTATCTTTACAAGAATTCTTGACAGACTCTTGGACGGCTATGACAATCGGTTGAGACCAGGATTAGGAGGTCAGTAATTGAAAAGTATTTGTGGAATTTAACATTTGTTGTATTTAGAAAAGTTACCTTACTCTGAACAAGGTATTTGTGCCTTCCTGAAAAAGAATGATATAAATTTAAGATGCACTGGGATGGTGTTGCAGTAAAAGAGTGAAAGCAGTACACTTTACTTGATTTAATCTGGTTTAATTTGTCAGTAATCCTTGTAGATTGGGGAATGATTCAGAGCAGCACTTAATTTATCTGGAGCCTCATATGGTGATTCTACCACTCCAATATGGAAAACACGGTTTTGGAAAGTGCAGATTTACTTTCAAGACTGACAAACATTGTCAAAATCTTAAGTGGAACAGTTCATGTAGAGACTGCACCCTGACTGAAGAAAGAAATCAGCAACATCAGTAATAACAACTTAAATTTAAATAGGACCTTTAACATAGAACATGTTCCTAAGCAGATGGATAATTAGAACACATTGGACAAGAATGAAGCATTAGGAGTGTCGAACAGAAAGAAGCTTGCTGAAACAAATAGTCTTTGAAGATGTCAAAAAAGGAAAAAATGAGTTGAAAAGCTGGAGGGGTTTTCAGAAAGAATTCTAGAGATTGGTGACTAGAAAGACCTACATAGGGCCAGAATTAGAAGACCAGAGATTTTAGGTTTGCAGTGAGTGGGCAGGATTTAAAGGGTTTTAGGACATTACCAAGATTGGCAACAATTGGATAGGTAAAAGCGATGGGCAGTTGACTGAACTGGATAATGGAGAAGAGGTGCTGGAGAGGAATGGTATAGTTGACAAGGTAAAAGACAACAGCAAAGTTGGCACAATGAAAATTATTATTGCATTGTGATGTTTTTCAATTGTAACTTTAAACCAGCTATTTTTTCATGAAATCGGTGGAGTGGAAGCCTGATTTCAGAGATTCAAAGTGGAGTTGTGGGTTGGCTGAGTACAGATTTTAAAGACAATAAATTGTTCAGGGATTGTAGAGAGGTTGGGAAGTTGGAGATTTGATGCCAATATTTCAAGGATAGAGGGGTTGAGTCTTATTTTTTGAGGAAGTGTCGTTGATGTCAGTTTTGAAAGAAAAGAAATTAAACCATTCACAATTTGTGGGGGCAAAATTGCAAGATAAATGGTATGTATTTGACTGTGAATGGAAACAAGTGTAGGAGGCTATGAATCTCATAAATAACATTAGATTGGTTACGGTGTGATGAGAAAGAAAATCAAAGACAAAGGAGGTGAGATGGAATTTGAAATCATCCAGGAAGAAGTCATTCGATGCAAAGGCTGAGGTTCAAAGGAACAGGGGTTATCTGAGGGACAGCTTGATGAGATTTGGATGGCTGTAGGTAACAATGCAAAACTGATGAGTGGTTGAAGCAAGGTATGATGCTGGATGATGACCATGTATCAGAGGAGGAGGAGAGATCCTGAGAGGTCCATGATCAAGATTATACCACCACTCTATCAGTTTGGCTGGACCACGTATTAGAAAGCTGTTTAGGATGACTTCGATAAGGTGTCAAATGTTTACTGCCTTTTAGGCAATTTTCAACTAAATTCATGACATTAATATTGTCACTTACATAAGGTTGATGATAGAAACCCTGCAACATGGAAGCAAGCCATTCAACCCACCTAATCCACACCAACCCTCTGAAGAGCATCCCACACCCCTACCCTATCCCTGTTTCCTGTGGCTAATCCACCTAGCTTGCACATCCCTGGACAGTATGAGCAATTCAGCATGGCCAATCCGCCTAACCTGCAATCTTCAGACTTTGGGCGGAAACCAGAGAGCACGCAAAGGAAACCCATCCAGACATGAAGAAAATGTCCAAACTTCACACAGACAGCTGCCCGAGGGTGGAATGGAACCTGGGGTCATGGCACTGTGAGGCAGCAGTGCTAACCATTGTGCCACCCTGTTAATGATGATGGAGGCATTTTTGTGACAATGCAAATGGTCTTGGAGGAAATACAAAGAAGAGTATTGATTGTGGATCTATCTGAAGTGTTCGGGGGCAGTGCTGGTGCAGTGAACAAGATGACTCGGAAGTTGCAGAAGTTAGCTGAGTGAATGCATTGCTGAAGTTGTCGAAAGAGGAGGAAGGAGCAGGAAGACTGTTTGCTTCTAAGGAGGCTGCAGTTCTTCCTTCAGTAAACAGTTTGGAAAACGCCAAGAGAAGTGCAGTGGAAAATTAAGAGTTTATTTAAGGAGGATTCATACCTGCAAGTATGGCATGAACAGAAAGGCGGAGGATGCATTATGAGAAACAGAATATTTCTTCAGTTACTTTGCCAGTTCCATCTGCTGTTTTTGAAAAGATATCTGAAAATAAAGATTGACACAGCAATGAGCTTGGACATTGTCCTAGGGAGAGCTACAGGAAACTTTTTATGAATGAGACTGTATATCATCAGTCAATTGTGAATATTTGCAATCACAGTACAGGCAAACATTTTGGGAGAGAAGCTGCATATGACAAATGTCTATTAAAGTGACAAGTGGCTGGCAAATAGAATCAAGAACAGAAAAACAAATCAGGGTAAATTGGCATCTTCAAATCCTACTACTTCTGTTGTTCAACTTCGGAAGATATTTGCGCAAACCTGCTCCATTAGCATTTATCACAGAACTCATTCTGGCTTGTTTTCATGATGGAACCAAGTTGTAGATGCACGTAAGATGGAAAATTATTTATAAATTATACAACCACACAAGATAACAAGTAAATCTGACCAAATTTGCATCATAAAATTGGTGTTAATGTGTTTAAAACATTAGTGTGTTAAGTGGTAAGTTACAGTGAATAAGTGTTTATTAAAATGTTAAATGTTGCTCATTTTGTGTTTAGTTTTGTTGGGAGGATGATAGAATTGTATGACGTATAGCAATGTGCACATACTAGACGATAGCTTGAACTTGGCGAGAACACCTCCAATTTTCTGGTCTGATGGTACGGTTAAAGTTGCATAATTTGTGACAATGAATTTATCTGGATTAAAGGAGATAGACTCTTCAAAATGTGCAGATAAAAATTCTTGATCTCTGCTCTGAGAATGCATTGACAAAGAATTTGCTGGAAAGTTTTGACAGAACTATTGTACAAAAGTTGAGTTACGCCTTTTTACCTTTTTATCCTGAGCTGAAAAGTCATTTATAACTGATTTATAGCAGTTTTGCTGCATGCATATTTCATCAATCATTTGCACTGCCCTTGAGTTATGCAAGAGGTGAAATCACTTGATAGTTCTATACCAGACAGAAACCCATAAAGTATACATTCCTGCATTTGCAACTGTTTACCCAAAAGGTCCAGCTGTAACAGAAGCCAAGACAAATGGTGGAATCTTTTCAGGCTCTGAACATTGTGGTCTACGACAAGATTTATGACAGAAGTCTGATGAGGCCTATCTTGTCATCAGGAACGACTCACTGCAACTTCTGTCCATCTACTGGGCAGCAAGGTGAATTTCATCTGGCCAGTGATGAGTTGTCAAGAGAGTTATAGATTCACACAGCACAGTTATAGATTCATACAGCTGTACAGCACAAAAACAGACCCTTCGGTCCAAATCGTCCATGCCAACCAGCTATCCTAAATTAATCTAATCCTATTTGCCAGCATTTGGCCCATATCCCTCTAAACCCTTCCTATTCACATACCCATCCAGATGCCTTTTAAATATTGTAATTGTACCAGCCTCCACCACTTCCTCTGGCAGCTTATTCCATACATGTACCACCCTCTGCGTGAAAAAGTTGCCCCTTAGATCCCTTTTAAATCTTTCCCCTCTCATCTTAAACCTCTAGTTTTGGACTCTCCCACTCCAGGGAAAAGACATTGTCTATTTACCATATCTATTCCCCTCACGGTTTCATAAACCTCTATAAGGTCACCCCTTAGCCTCTGACACTCCAGGGAAAATAGCCCCAGCCTATTCAGCCTCTCCCAATAGCTCAAACCCTCCGACCCTGGCAACATCCTTGTAGATCTTTTCTGAACCCTTTCAAGTTTCACGGTATCCTTCCTGAAGCAGGGAGACCAGAATTGCAAACAATATTCCAAAGGTGGCCTCACCACTGTCCCGTACAGCCACAACATGACCTCCCAATTCCTATACTCAATGCTCAGATCAATAAAGCATACCAAACACCATTTTCACTATCCTATCAACCTGCTGCTCCGCTTTCAAGGTACTATGAAACTGCACTCCAAGGTCTCTCTGTTCAGCAGCACTCCCTAGGACCTTACCATTAAGTGTATAAGTCCTGCCCTGCTTTGCCTTTCCAAAATGCAGCACCTCACATTTATGTAAGTTAAACTCCATCTGTCACTGGTCGGCCCATCTGATCAAGATCCTGTTTTAGTCTGAGGTAACCTTCTTTGCTGTCCACTAAACCTCCAATTTTGGTGTCATCTGCAAACTTACTAACCAAACCTCCTATGTTCAAATCCAAATCATTTATGTAAATAATGAAAAGCAGTAGACCCAGACCGATCTTTGTGGCACACCACTGGCCTCAGGCCTCCAGTCTGAAAAGCAATCCTCCACCACCACCCTCTTCCTTCTTCCTTCGAGCCAGTTCTGTATCCACATGGCTAGTTCTCCCTCTATTCCATGTGATATAACCTCACCTACCAGTCTACCATGAGGAACCTTGTCAAACGCTTTATTGAAGTCCGTATATATGATGTCCACTACTTTGCCCTCATCAATCCTCTTTGCTACTTCTTCAAAACACTCGATCAAGTTAGTGAAACACGATTTCCCACGCACAAAGCCATGTTGACTATCCCTAATCAGTCCTTACCTTTCCAAATGCATGTAAATTCTGTCCCTCCTTCAACTTGCCCACCACCGATGCCAGACTCACTGGTTTATAGTTCCCTGGCTTTTCCTTAACACCTTTCTTAAATAGTGGCACCACATTAGCCAACCTCCAGTCTTCTGGCATCTCTCCTGTGGCTGTCGGTGAAACAAATATTTCAGTAAG